GACGAAAGTTAATTGAAAAAAAATCTATCGTAAGCGCATTCCTTGAATATCCAGCTGTATTAAAGGTCAAATACAAGAAATCCGACTCAAAATATTCAACAATAAAATCGTTCTAAATCTACGAATATCCAAAGGTTTATTTTCTTATTTATTTTGTTATTTAATGTTATTTATTCAAGTTTACGCCGTATATATTTATTTATTAGCGCACAGTTCTTTTTATTTGTTTATACTCAATACGCAGTTTTGCGTACTTACAGTTATAAAAATTATATAACAAAAAAAAAAAAAAAAAAAATGTGCGGCTTAAGCTTAAAAAAAAGTTAACGACTTTTCAATCTAAACAAAATTGTGCGATTAGTTGATAAGTATACTCAAGGTCAGATTGCTTTCAATAAATTGTAAAAAAGCTCACTTACCGTTTTGTTTTTGTTTTTGTTTATTATTTATTATTACTTTAATATTTACTTTTTTATTACTAATATTATTCATCACTTTTCTTAATCTTTAATAGGCTGCTGCTACTTACGTTCATATAAATATTGTTACTTATATATCTTATCGGCATAACCATTTACCGTAATGAAAACTACAAATAGCATATGTGCTGTTTGCAATGTAAATGTCAATAAAAATCAGAAAGCTGTCTTTTGTGATAGCTGCCTTAATTGGGTCCACCTAAAATGTAACAATCTCAATGATATTGATTACAAATTACTAAAAAATTCCTCAAAAAATTGTTCTTGGTTTTGTTTAAATTGTTTAGCCAGTATTTTTCCCTTCAATAAAGAAACTATAATTGACAACGAAAATCTTACTAATGTTGACACCAAAGTAAATGAGATTTATCAAGTATCAGATTTCCCCATATACTCAATCTTTAACACATTTAATACACATGTTGATAACAATAACAAATCCCAAAATCTCCCAATAAACAGTTATTATACTAATGTTGATGATTTAAAATGTATTGCAGCTGACAAATCCTCATTTAATGTATTTCATATCAATATCTCATCACTCTCGAAACATTTTGACGACCTTGAAAATCTACTCCAATTAACAAAACTTGAATTTGACATAATTGGTATATCAGAAACCAGGCTGAATAAAAACAGGCCTCAAACTAGCAACATAACACTTAATGGGTATTCCCATGAACACACACCATCTGAATCACAAGCAGGTGGTGCATTATTATATATAAATAACAGACTCGCCTATAAACCCAGAAATGATCTCCTCATCTATAAACCAAAAGAGCTAGAATCTATCTTTATTGAAATCGTAAATCCAAAAAAATCTAATATTATCGTTGGCTGTATCTACAGGCATCCAAAAATGTCTTTAGACAACTTCTTATCCTTCTATCTTAATCCTTTACTCAAAAACTTAACAAAAGAAAATAAAACTATATTTATTTTGGGAGATTTTAACATTGATTTGTTAAAATGTGACACAGATTTATATGCTAAAGACTTTTTAGACTCACTCACCTCAAATCAAACAAATATAAAGCTGGGAATCTTACCACCACAATCTCAGATCATCTTCCCCAATTTCTAATAACTTATAATATTCTTAAACCACCACCTAGCAAAAAGCTTCTAGCCCAGGAAAGAAACTGGAAAAGTTTCAATGAAGTATCATTTAAACACGATTTTCTCAAAACTATTATAGATAAAGAACCAAAAATATACCCTGATAACTGTACTCAGTCTCTCGAGAATACTATCTCCAATATTAATTTGTTGCTTGATAATCACGCGCCTTTAAGAAAGCTTAACAAAAAAAATTTTAAATTCAAGACTAAACCATGGATATCTGATGAACTCAAGCACTCTATACAGCACAAAAACAAGCTCTTCAAAAAATATATTAGGTCTAAAAATCAAACAAATAAAACCATATTCCACAATGAGTATAAAGTATTTCGTAATAAACTCCAATCTAAACTCAAAGAAAGCAAAAAAAGTTACTTTGATAATTATTTTACGGAAAACATAAAAAATATAAAGGCAACCTGGAAAGGTATCAAAAACATCATTAATATTAAAAGCAACTCTCACACAACTCCTAATGTAATTGTACATAACACTATAACAATAACAAACCCCTTTGATATTTGTAATGCTTTCAACAACTACTTTACTAACATTGGTAAGGATGTCCAGGCAACAATTCCTTCATCCATAAATCATTTCACATATTACTTATCAAATCCTGCTCAAAAATCTTTTTTTATAAAACCTACTGACGAACATGAAATCTCAAAAATTATCGACTCTTTAGACTCAAATAAAGCTTCTGGACCAAATGTCTACCAGTTAAAATTCTAAAACTATTAAAAACTGAACTTTCAAGAATTCTTTCTAACATTTTTAATACCTCATTCTCAAGCGGTATTTTCCCAGAAAACTTAAAAACTGCCAAAGTTATACCTATTTTTAAAAATGATTCAAAACTAATAATGTCAAACTATAGGCCAATTTCCCTCCTCTCCAACATTGATAAAATTCTTGAAAGGCTAATGTTTAACCGCTTATATGAATACTTTAATGAAAATAAACTGTTTTGTGATCTACAATTTGGTTTTCGAACAAACTACTCTACATCACTTGCTTTACTAAGTCTAACAGAAAAAATTAAAAACTCTCTAGATGAAGGAATGTTTGGATGTGGTATATTTATTGATCTTCAAAAGGCATTTGACACTGTAGATGTTGACATTCTACTCTATAAACTATCCTACTATGGTATTAAAGGAGTTTCAAACTCCTGGTTTAAATCTTTTCTTACTAATAGAACTCAATTAGTACCTATTGGTGGAGTGAACTCAAACTTAAACGATATCAATGTAGGTGTTCCTCAGGGATCTGTCCTTGGCCCTTTGCTGTTTCTTATTTATATAAATGACATGTCGAAAGCATTAAAATTTTGTCGAGTCCAACACTTTGCAGATGACACAAACCTTCTCTACTTTAATAAATCTGTAAAAAAAATCAACAAATATGTTAACTATGACCTTAAGAAACTATGCAATTGGCTTAATGCAAACAAAATATCCCTTAACTCCAAAAAAACTGATTTAATATTATTTAAAAGTCCCCACAAAAAATTAAACCAACAGATCAAAGTTAAATTAAATGGGAAAAAACTTTATTGTAAAAAATTTGTTAACTACTTGGGTATAAAGCTAGACGAAAACTTAAACTGGGCTTATCATTATAACGATATCTCTAATAAGTTGAATAGATCCCTTGCCATTCTATCAAAGCTAAAACATTTCATTCAACAAAAAACTTTAAAATCTATTTACTATGCTTTATTTCACTCTCACCTCACATATTGCCTTTTATCATGGAGTCAAAATATGAGTATTATTAATCGCCTATTTATCATGCAGAAAAAAGCAGTCAGAATTATTGAATTTCTTCCAAAAAATTCACATACATCCGCATCTTTTAACACATTACATATCTTAAAAGTACATGATTTAATTAAAAGTGAAAATTGCTTATTTATTCACAGCTGCCTTAATAAAAAACTGCCTCCTATATTTGATGAATGGTTTACTCAACGCAGTGCAATTAGCAGCCAATTTACAAGAAATTCTTGTAACGGTGCACTGAGTGTGCAAACATATAATACAAAATCCTATGGTAAACAATCCTTTAAATACTCTGCAATAATACACTGGAATCAACTTCAAAATAAATTAAAAACAGTCCCTTTTTGCAATATTAAAAAATATACTCTCAAAAATAAATTAAAATACTACCTGATAAATCAAGATAATTTAAAACAACAAATGAATCTTTGGTGATAAAAGATTTATGGCAATAGAAGTTATAGGAGATATGATATAAATATGAATGTTAAATAATAGCAACCTTATGTGACTGTATTAGCTAGCTTGTTTGTTTGTTTTTTTGTTTTTTTTTGTTTTTTTTTATGTTTTGGTTTTTCTTTCGTTTTTGTTTTGCTCGTGGTCGCTCTCCTCGATTTAGCCAGGCTATATGAGAGTGAACCATCCAGAATATAGGCTATGCATATATATTTTTTTTATTTGTATTTTATAACATGCTTATTGTAAAACATCTATATTCTTGGTAAATATATTGCTTTTTGTTGTTGTTGTTGTTGTTGTTCAAATAACTATTAATGTTATCAAATTTTAGAAAATATTTAACTTCATTTGGATAAAAGTATTTGCATTCAAATTCTGATGTATTAATTTCGTTAAAATAGTTTAAATCAGGATCAGACTCTTCGTTAAAATTTAAAACGTTTGTTTGTAATTAAATTAAATATTTTTTCAAAATCATTAGAATTATTTGAATCCATATTAAAAATTAATAAATAATATAATATATGAATATATAAATAGTTCATATATATATATATATATATATATATATATATATATATATATATATATATATATATATATATATATATATATATATATATATATATATATATATATATATATATATATATATTATATATATATATACATATATATATATATATATATATATATATATATATATATATATATATATATATATATATATATATTATATATATATATATATATATATATATATATATATATATATATATATATATATATATATACATATATATATATATATATATATATATATATATATATATACATATATATATATATATATATATATATATATATATATATATATATATATATATATACATATACATATATATATATATATATATATATATATATATATATATATATATATATATATATATATATATATATACATATATATATATATATATATATATATATATATATATATATATATATATATATATACTATAAGATATATATACTATAAGATATATATACTATAAGATATATATACTATAAGATATATATACTATAAGATATATATACTATAAGATATATATACTATAAGATATATATTATTGTAGCTGTTTAGCTAAAAAGTGTTAATGGGAAAAAGCAAAAAGTGGATGGCGTGGTGCCAGTAAGATGGTATCGATATGATCTAGTCTCAATTAAGTTAATCGCAGGTAAATGTTTTAAAAAGTCTTCTCGTTTATTTTTGGACTAATTTTTTATTGTGTTGTTTTTTAATTTTTAAACATATTAATGTTTTTTAATTTTTTAACATATTAAATTAAAATATTTATTTTCAGACGATAAATAAAACCTGTAAACAATTTCTGTCTGTATTTACTTGTTCAAGTGCCAGTGAAACGAACAATAGAAAAGAAGAAGCAGTAGGCTCGCATTTTTTTAAATATATTTTTAAATGATCTGAATAATTTTATTGTTTTTATTTAGTTGAATGATGAAATTATTTATAAAAAAGATTGACTCTTTAACTTTTATGTTAAATTTGTTATTTCCTTGTTAACTGTTGTCTGTCGTTAAAAAAGCAGAAGCTTTTGGTTTGGATACAAAAGACCAAGTGAAAATGATACTGGAAAGGTACACTTTCTTATATCTAAACATCATTGCAGCTTTCTAGTCTTCATTTTTTGTTTAAGTGTATTTCATCTGTGTTGCTAATGATATCGCCAGTTTTTATAATTTTATGTAGTTAAGTAAAGCATCATTATGTTTCAGGCTAAAATAGAGCTTTGATTAATACTTTTATTCAGTTTAAATGAGTAACCACTCTCAAGGTGTATTAGGTGAATTATCTTTTTGTTTTCATAGTTTTTAGTCAATAACGGATTTTTAAATTGTTCTACAATTTTTTGACTTTGAGTCTACAACACTAAATTTCAGGGAAATTCAATTAAAAAGTGATGTCACAGAAGACAGAAAAATATCAATATCTGTTTTCAGTAACTTGGTTTTCATAGCAAATCTGATAGGTGCAAATGTTTAGCTTGGTTTAAGTTCTACATAATAAAATATATCGTTGTACAGTCATTTTGATGGTCGTAACTTACTTTAGCACACTCATTTTTATATATTTTTAGACTGTTTACTCCTGTCCTAATCTAACCTAGTGGGTTCAAAGAGAAAGGAACGCGCTGGAAACACAAGGGGGTTAAAATGATTAGCCTTTTTTGAATTAATAGTCGGTAAGTCTAATGTGTTTCACTCAGCTAATCAAGTTTCATTTGCTTTTTTATATTACATTCAAGCAATAGACTGTTCTTTATGTTCACTCATTTTTTAAAAGCTCGTATGAAAGGATTTCTCGACGTGAAACAGTTAATTTTATTCAACAACGCCAAAAAACAATGCTCGCTCAAGAAACAGAAAAGGAAGAAAAAGATGAAAAAATATTCTGTTGAACAATACTGTTGTTTTATTTATAAATTATTCTCCTATTTTTAAACATATAAAAGATGTAGAAAACGCTTCTTCTTTTATATTGGCATCTAAAAGAGGTTTTTTTCTCGGCATCGGAAAGAGCTTTTTGTCATACTTTGTGTGAAAAGCTATTATCCCAACGGGTATTTGTTTAAGTTCTAAATGTATAGTTACGTTCTAAATGTATTTTAAATGTCTTTTAAACGTCTTCTAAACATTCTTACGCAAAAAACGTTTAAAAGACATTTAAAATACATTTAGAACGTAACTTTTAAAAACAAATGCCCGTCGGGATCGTTTTCATTTGATAAAAACAGCTTTTCATATCTGAAAAGTAGGAACACTATTGTGTTGAATAAAGTTGTATGAATAAAATATTAAATGAAATTTTTATTTGGAGATTTAATGAAGGTTCAAAATTTATTATGCCACCTCGACTGAAAGAAGACTGAATGTTTGTTTTAAAGAACAACAAAGAATTGATTAACAATATTAAAGACCAGAAAACAATTGATTAACAATATTAAATGTGCATTAGTCCAGCAAAATAATCTTAATTTTATTTTTTATTAAAAAAACATAATACTTTTTTTAGATGTTTTATTATAGTTCCATTTTTGAGAAAACGTCCGTTAATTAAACTATTTATTTAAATCGTATTTGTAAATGGTATTATTATTCTACGAGAAATTAAATGAATACATCATTTACTGAAATGAAGTAAATAAATAATTTAGAATAATTTTGATTATCAAAGGAGGATCTAATATGTCTAATATTTCATTTTTACTGCTTTTATTTTATGTCTTTCAAAATAAAAGCAATAAAATTAAATTAGTACTAATAGTGCTGCTCAAAATTGAGTATGTGCTACATAAAATTATTCAATGAAATTTGGCATGTGCAAAGAAAATTTGTTAACATAACATCGAGAATAGGTTAATCTCAAGCGTATTTTTTATGTTTACTGAATGCAATAAGTTTTTGCTTAAAAAAAGGAAAAGATTTACCAAAATGAATAGTTGTAAATATAAATGTGGTTTAAAAACTAGTTTTCAAACAAATCAGTTGATTGAAAAAAGTCAATTGACAATTGAATTTTACTGTAGTTTATCTAGGTAATATTAATTTTGTTCAAGTTATTATCATTTAAAAATATTAAAAAAAAAATTATTGATTTTTTATCTGCATTTTTTATTAGGTTTATACTCAATCTTTCTTCTAACTTAAAATATGAGACGTATCATTGTGGATGCTTCATTGTGAATGTATTCATTGTAAATGTATCCATTGTGGATGTTTATGTGACAAGTTTTTCAAAACCATTTAACTATTTTAAACAAATGGTCTAATTTGATCGAAGCTATAAGATGCTTGACTAATGTCTAATCATCAAGAAAAAAACAAGTTTTTATTGAAAGTTTATCTTCTATGGGAATCTCAAGTAATGGTGGTACATTTTATTCTGCAGACACTATTGTTCATGCTTTTGAATACTTTTCTGTTTCAAGTGCAATAATTACGAGCCTCCCAGTGCTTCTACTCTAAAAAAAAATAACATCAAAAGCTTCTAAATTATACAACGACAAATTTGTTCAATGTGTGTTTAGCAAACATACAGATCGCCATAAAACGCTATTTTTTAATTGTAGATGAAGTGTATGTTAAAACTTCATTAACTTACCTTGGTGGAGAACTTTCTGGAAATCTGTTAATCAATCATACAAATTAGAAAAAACAGTATTAGCTGTTATGAATAAATGCTTTTTTGGTGGTTTGCAAGATTCCGATTATTAATTTATGTTATCTTATCAACTTCTAACAATTAGCGATTAGATTTTTGGTCTAATATTCTATTACATTAGTTTCTATAAAGATAACGTTATTTTTAAATTCTTTCGTTCATTTATATTTTTAAATTCTTTTTTTCTTGATATCCCGCTTAACGTGGTATTTGGCTTTGTCATAAGACATAAAGGGACAAAGGGTTAACAAAGTTATTAGGAGCAAGTATTAATGCTTGTTTTTAAAATAAATGAAAAGAGTATTATTTCACATCGGGTAAAAAAAAGGGCTAAGTTTGAAGAAAAATTAGTTTAATTTAAAAGCGGAGAGCCCAAAATAAATCATGTTTGCATCTTTTTTTGCATGTGTATATATTTTAAAAGTTGCTATACTATAAAAACTTAATGTGTTTGATTTTAACTTAACATTAATTGTGTTTTGTATTCACATCAAAAGCACCTGGGGCAATAAAAATATGTAAAACATTTTGAGACTGTGATTTCATGTAATTTAGCTCTTGGTAAAGCAAGTAAAATGTTGATATCATTTAAACCAAATATAGACAATCAATATTAAAAAATCCAAACCACACTGATATAAGTACAACCGTGATGGCGGCTATGAAAACGGAGAAAGGTGTCTCATGGAATAAATTTAAAATGATATCTAGGTAGGTATAACTAAAAATTTATTCTTTTTATTTTTGTTATCTTCTGTTAATTGCCTATACATTTACTGTAACAAATAGAGTTTTTTTTAAATGATTTAAAAAATTATGATATAAGCTGTGCGTCGTTTCACAAAGAAAATTTATTTCAATATTACAGTTAAAAATGTTCCTTTCACTCTTCAAAAAGTAGAAAACGAAGTGTTATATTGAAGATGAACCAAAGCAAAAAACTATTTAAAAAATATTTTGGAATACCTTAAATATTTAGCGAGCAATAATAATAATCTTTATCATTCGATTTTCGTTTCGAAAACGATAGGTTTTATTAACGATAAGTTTTATTAACGATAAGTTTTATTAACGATAAGTATATTCTTGACTTTTTGTTTTACAGTATCGTTTACCGTTATATCGTTATATATTATTAATATTTTTATATTTAGTTGTTCTATTCAGGTTATAAAATTACAAATTTTAAAACCTGAATAGAACAATTAAATTTACAAGTTTCCATTTTCTTTAAAATCTTTACCATTACAGGATTTCAAAAAAAAAAAAAAAAAATTATAGGTGTTTTTGTCTTGCAAATAAAATTTTGAGATTATCGACCTTCTGGGGCAGATTATCAGCGTTCGAGGGACATTCAAAAATACATTGAATTGATTGAAGAAATTTAAGCTTTCATTTTAAAAATTAAGAAAAATAAAAACCTTTTGAATTAAGACAAGTAGAAAGATCTTTAAGTTTTTCTTTTAATGTAGAATTTGATATTTTTATTTCTTTTTTCTTTTCAAAAAAGTCAGTTTTAGTCGAATTCTTTATAGATTTCTGGTTTTGGAAAACTTTGACGAAATAACTGCTTTATTTTGTCAAAGAAATATAAAATAGAAATTTGTTTAAATAAATAACGAGATAATGTAATTATTTCTGTATTTTATTGCGTTATTTTTTTGTTTTATAATTTTTCGCGGCATTTAGAGTTTCTTAAGAATATTTATTTTTGAAGTTTAATTTTTGATATCACTAGATAATGTTCAGTTGATGTCACTAGAAATTGTCAAATTAAGATATTACTATAAAATGTTCAGGTATTACTAGAAAATGTTCCAGACTACTTGATGCGTAATGCAATATTTACGCCTAAGAACACCATAAAGTACTGCGAACGCAGTACTTTATGGTGTTCTGAAAAAAAAAAATTATTTTTTGACCAAAAATAATGCAGAATTAAAACTTCAAAATAAAAAAAGATTTGTTTATTAAAAAGCGTTCAGAAAAATATCTAGTACATTTAGTTTATTATAAGATGAAAACCGGAGGTGTTTTTAGACAATCAAAACAACCATGTTAAACATTAAAAAATGAATAACCAGAAATTCCCTTACTCTTAACTCAACCACTTATTTGAAAATATTTAACCACAATGAATTCAGTACTTAGAGGCTTGTTTAGTGTTTTAGAAATGTCATTAGGCGTGGTGTCATTCATTTCCGTTTCAACAATTGGTTTAATTTTACTACTCATTTCACTTTTAAGCTTTTTTTTTTTTTTTTTTTTTTTGGTTTAATTTTAATTTTCAAAGTTTTATGTGGCAAAAGAAATATACTACCTAAAAAAATAAAAAAAGGACATTTTTTTTGAAATTTTCTTAAAATTTTTGTTTTAGGTGCACCAAGAACGGTCTTGTCACAGAGCACCGCGGAAAAGCATTTAACTAGGAAGTTCATGCTTCCTTCCTTACCGCTGCACAGTGGGTCAGAAGCCAGTAAAACCTAAAAAATAAAGTATAAAAAGTCAACTTTTTTTATTTTAAATATCAGACAATTATGTCTAATATACGAAAACAATATTATTTATGATAAAATATTAATTTTACATAGTATTAGCTGACCGCAAAATATAAGAGTTCCATTAGTAAGGTAATGTTAAAAATTATTAATTTCTTTAAATATTGCAATGATATTTTTACATTCATTCTAATTTATAAGGTAAGAAAAGTCTATGTCACATTTTTTGTACATGTATATACACCTTTTCAAGATGTAAATGAGAACATGAAAGTTGTAATTAAGAAGTCGTAATATGTAATTAAGAAACACAACATGTAATTGAGAAAACGTTATATGTAATTGAGAAACACAACATGTATATAAGAAGTCGTAACATGTAATTAAGAAACACAACATGTAATTGAGAAAACGTAAGATATAATTGAGAAATCATAATATGTAATTGAGAAATCGTAACTTGTAATTGAGAACACATAAATTAAAATAGCAAATTCACAGTCTAAGTTTGTAGGTTGTTACAAAAGGTCTTTTTGGACATGAATTTAAGTTATAATCTTAAATTTTGCTTTTGTATGCACAAGTAATAATAATGGAACTGAAAGATCGTTGTGTTATATGCCAATACACTATGACCCGAAAGTCTGTGATTAAGCTAAATCCGTGTCAACATTTATGTCA